TAAATATCTAACTTACAATTCATATAAAGCAATTTAGATGACAAATGACACATAAATATCTAACTTACAATTCATATAAAGCAATTTAGATGACAAATGACACATAAATATCTAACTTACAATTCATATAAAGCAATTTAGATGACAAATGACACATAAATATCTAACTTACAATTCATATAAAGCAATTTAGATGACAAATGACACATAAATATCTAACTTACAATTCATATAAAGCAATTTAGATGACAAATGACACATAAATATCTAACTTCCGAGCACTGATGACAATAAAATACATAATTCTCCCATGTGTAAATAAGTGCAAAACCACAAAAAGGGCATCTGAACTGTGCCTACTGTGGGTATATCAACCAGGTGTGAAGTGTACATGTTGAAAAACTTACCACAGATCCTCTAGGTAGAAGAACAAGTCTTCACCAAAGAGAATGGCAACTTGTGGAAGGTGCCAGAAAAAAAAAAAGTCTGAAGTATCTACTCATTGATTATATTCTTCCTCAGAGACATTGTTGTGTGAAAAGAAGAAGAAGAAATCATCAACCGAATATATGAAACGAGCTCCATGCGAATAGAGGTAAGAGCATTTAGGAAAATCTCCGTTTCCTGTTGAAGTTGGTACTCTAGGTAATTTCCAATTCCTGTTCAAGTTTGTATTCTAGGTCAGTGTTTCCCAAAATGGAAGTTGCATCCTCTCTGGGGCCGTAAAGCTTTATCTCGGGAGCCACCAAAAATTGGCCCAAAAATATAGAAAAATGCGGAATTAATTTTAATTTTAAATAAACAATAAGTCAATAAATATAGCTGTAAATACTGACTGGTGCTACATAAATGTAAAACTGAAAATTAAAATATAAAACACTGACCAGTTACAAATACCAGTAAGAAAGTTTAAGAACATTACAGCTTTCCAGCATTGAATAGTGATAAATAACTGGAAAAAAAGAACATCCGTGTTTTTAAGTGGTGACACATAACTGAAACAGCTAATAGAAGATCCCTTTTTTTAAGCAGACACAACTGTAACAAATGACTAAAGAACATTCAGTTTTCTAACACAAACAAGTGATATATATATATATATATATATATATATATATATATAACTGTAAAAAATGTAACTTTTATTTTCATTTCAATCAATCTTCTGTTTCTACTTCAACTTCTTTATAGTTCAATATCATTTTTCAGTCTTCACTATGTATTATTTAAAAACTGTTTGTCATATATAGAAAACAACAATACAAATAGAAATGGCAATAATAAAGTAATACATACCTGTCTTGCAGTATGGGTATGCATTCCAAGCCTCTTCATGAACTTGTAAAGAACCTTTGGGTGCAAGAAGTCGAATGAAAGCAGGAACTTTGCTAAACATAAGGAGATAAAATTTTAGTAGCCGTTCAAGAAAACAGATTAATTCATTACCTTTTAACTCTCTCAATACAGGCTTGGTTAAACTGACCAACCACATGATCTCTTTGTATTCGTTTAAAGTCTTTGTAAATTTAATACTTCTAACTTTTAATATAACGTGTACGTCTTCACAAAAGTTGGCAGTCTTTCACATACAAAAAATCATATTTTTTAGTGAAGTAATAAAATAAAGAGTTGTTCATGAATATATTGAGTATTTGTTTTGAATAGTCAATGTGTAAAGTAATTTTCATGTTAAAACAAAAAATACATTTCCTCATCTCAAAAATCTCAAATTACGTTTGTGTAATCCCTAAAACCTCCTAAATGCATTTCAAACGTTTTTTCCAGTAAAACTTTATAGTTTATCTATTATTTTCTCTACCTGATCTCAAAATGGGATTGGTCAATTTGACCAACCTTGTAACCATAATAAAAAAAAACAATCTAAATTACCCCCTTTTTTCCGAGAATGACTTTAAATTATAACATGAAATTACATTTGTATATCCTAAGTAGCTGTAATTTTGTAACAGTATACATGTATTTATAATAAAATTACTTTGTTTGATTCCCCTTTGAACTGCGACTAACTACTATCTGTGGCATTATAAGTTGTAACTCACTCAAAGAACGTGCAACTCATGTTACACTAATGAATTACATTACCCACAAGCTACTGTGAGCTGCTCACGTGTCTCGTGAAAGATTATTATATTATTATTATTTATTTATTTTACCTAATATAATCTTAACTAACTAAAAAGGATACCTATTTTTACATTTTAGTTACTTTTATAATTATATATAAAGTATAAACATGAAACACAAGAAATAAAATACTTTACCAATCTTCTTTTTTCTTGCTTTCGATTGTCAATGAGAGTTAAGATTAATTTTTATACTAATGATAGTAATGCACTTTATAATTTTTATTTAAGTAAATAATGCACAAAACAATATATACTAACAACATGCAAATAGTAGACAAATTCCCTTACATCTCAAAATTTTTCTGGTTTCTAGCTATGCGATAAGAGTTGTTACAAATTCATCGAAGCTAGTCATTAACTTTCTCTCAGGTGAACGATGTTGGTGAAATTGACATTTAACCATTCAGACCATAACGTTATATAATACATCATTTGATAGATGAAAACCTTGACTTTCTATTGGTTATAAGTAATATATAATTTAAACATAAGAGAGGACTATCAGCGAATTCTAAAAGAGAGGATATGACAGGTAGGTGTGGCAGGAGGGGTCTGATTTTCTATTCGATAGCTCTGTAACTAAACAAAATTGAAGACTATAAAAATTATGGTTTGTCTGAGCAATGATGATTTTATAGAGAGTAATTTAAGTTTAATTTCATTCTTTTTCGAGGAATGGTGACAAAATACGGAAGATGACATGCTAAGAAAAAATGTGTCATGTGGGTCTCTCGAGGAAATTCAGGATTTTTTTTTTAATATTGCCTTGCAGAATTAAGAACTTAAAACTTACATACTATTAAGATATGGATTATTAACTGAGATTTTATGCTATTCTAATTGGTATAACACAAAAAAAAGTAGTTTAATAAAATTTTGAATGTAAGATACTAAAACCTTGTGTCATGCGCAGTAAAGGTTACCTGCGGCAATAGTGTTAAAACTACTTTGATTTTTCTTACAGTTTTCAAATTATGAGTATTAAATGTTTTCTTAGTAAAATTTTACATATTAACTGTTACTTTCTGTACCCTAACTCTATATATATTCAGTCAATTTGACTGATCTTGTAACCATCACAAAAGAATTAAATAAATCTAGATTACTTTTTTTCTTTCTAGAATTACTGCAGGTTGTAATATAAAACTAGAACAAGCCCATGCACATTTAGGTAATATAACTGATGTATATTATGTTGACTTCTGTTTGTAGTTTAAGAATATTTTCTGGGAAATTTTCTCAAAGAACTCAAAAGAAATTTAATATACAGTGATAGAAATAATTATGGACACTTACAACTGATACACATTTAGGAGTTGCAAACAATGAATAATAGTAACTAGATGGTGAATTTATTAATAGTACAAAGCCTAATCACAGAATGCAAAAGAAAAGCAAATCACTTTTTTAACTTATATTTTGTATGCGAGTCTTTTTATTTACACAGAGCATTACATCTTATTTTCACATTGCCATAACAATTTATCAATGCATGATTCTGTAATATTGTTACAAATATCCTGTATTATTATCCACAATTCAGCCAAGTTGTTTGGTCATCTGTTGATCATCTTCTCAATCTTTACATCAGCTTCAAAAACATTCATATCGAGGCTTTGTGAAGGTCAAGCATGATTATGAATGTCCGTGCATACATTAAACAGTACATTTTAATAGGAATGGCCTTATATTTGAAAGTTATAATTTTCCTATACTGAAAATGTATTTCCAATAGGCTCTTACCTCCTTTCATAAGATTAGCTATTCTCGTTCAGTGCTGCCCTCTATATACGAACTTTTCATAATGCATGCCATAAGCTTTGTGCACCCCCTCTGTTGGAAATATCATGTTCCAACATGTCTCTCATGCAAATCATCATGCGTCATCTCTCAACCAATAGTAGCATGACATGTTCACGTGACTCCCTCTACACTCCTCTTCGAAGTTTGGCAGAAGGTGCAAGCACGAGAAAGTGGGGAGGAAGGGGGGGAAGTACCTACTGAAAATACATTTTCAGTATAGGAAATTTATAACCTCCAATACGTAACTTACCTATCTCGTCACAAGATTAGCTAGAATCCCATATTGAAAAGGTGGAGGAACTGGTGTGAGGGAACAAAAGAAGCACCCCTGAAAGCATTTGAAGGATACCTCTGGACCTGAGAGATAGAGATCTGTAGATTAGAAGAGGGAAACACCACTACTTCTGAGCCAGGTATACTTGTCACCCTTATGTATAGTGTGACATGCACTAGGGCCATACTCGGCAAGTCAACTACATCCAAAACCTCCCCACGGGACACCAACATCTACACTGGGTAGGATGAGGATCATACCATCTTCACCTCAAACCCAAAATTGGTGTTTTAAGACCCGCATCAACATCTAGGTATGCCACAGAGACAAATGTCCATCAAATAGAATCAACTCACCCAACCATGGCACATGCCAGTACAATCCAAAGACAATAACATCTGCAGAAGAATGTGGGATAGTACAGGAGAGCACCAGAACCAGCTCACTAACTACATAGTGACGAAAGACACAGATGGAGTAATTGAGGGAGGAAGAGAGACAACCTGCCTCCATGGATGGACTTATGTTGATTGGTTCACTCTAATCCAAAACCACGATGCCAGGAACTGACATCTGCTCGAAGGTAGGATGAGGGCACCCAATCGAAGGGTGAACTGCAAGTGTGATGGCTCAACTTCAGTGTGAAAGTAAAATGGATCAGGAGGCCACGTCATCCCATAATGGGTGGCTCAACTTCAGCTGATGTGTAAAAGGAAACGGGAGGCAACATCATATTACAAGGTGATGGCTCAACTCCTACGAGTGTAATAAGCATAATGAGGCCATATAAACCAGAAGATGATGGCTCAACTCCATTGGTTGTGTAAATGGTAGAGGTAGGCTATGTCATCCCAGAAGGAGACAGCTCAACTCCAGTGTTGGTGTGTAACATAATCAGGAGGCCATATCAACCAGTAAGGCAATAGCTTGACTCCTCTGGAGGCCACATCGCACCTACACCAGCAGAACACCACTGCCCTACCCTCAACTGAATGGCCCATGATCCACCACCCCAGTGGCTTGGTACTGGAAGTGGCAAGGACTCCCATACTCGAAGAATGGAGGATTGCTAAGTGGTGGTAAGCTGAGGAACATCATCACCAGAAACCGTGCAGTGGGTGACCACGAAACCCTATTTTGAAAAGCATACCACACCTAGTTATTCATGTGAGACATGGCAGGGACACACAGCAATCCCCTTCTGCTTTACCCATTTAATCCATGGGTGAATGTTCATGTTTATGAAGCACTGATATCATGAGATCATTCACCTGCAAGTGATCTTGTGGAACATCCCACTTCAATAGTGACCATGCATAGCCATGAGCTAGAAAGCGCAAGACAATATGGTGGACAGTGTGGATTAAGAGTTAAAGAATACCTGGACAGGCACCACTCGCCACAGAGCGGGATCCGTGATAAAAAGGGGGAGAAAATGCCCCTGAAAAAAAAAAGAAAATGAAAAACCTACCATCAAAGTTACACAGAAGTCTAGAGAATGGCCACGGATGGCAGACGAAACTCCAACGCAGAGGAAAGCATGATACGATGAAGATAGTGGGAGATGAATGTACTGGGAGTGGTCCACATGCCAGATTGGAGAATCTCCTTCATCGGACGACAAAGATGAAAACTGGGATGTCTGATTTTATGAGAGTAAACGTGGAAGAAGGCAAGAAAGAGAAGGCCTAAAGGAATGCATGAGCCAAGTAAGAACAGGATAAAAGAAAACCTTATGGTATTGGGAAAAATGGAAGGTATTGGACAGAGCTGCCCAATATCCTAAAAGTGAGGAGATCAAGGAAACACAGTTGAACAGCCAGCTGAGAAATTCTGTAACATGAAGCACAAATGGCTTGTCAGTGGGAAATCCTCTGTCGGCAGACCAACAGTGGAAGACATTTCACTTATATTGGTACACTTCTAAAGAAAATGGCTATAAGGAACTAGCCAACAAAGAGGCAACTCAATGTGTGAAACTGGATAGATCTGGTCCTGTTGCAAAGGATGATCTGCGATGAGATTGAAAGCACCAGGCACATGACTGGCAATAAGATGAATGTGACATGCATGGGCCCAGTATAAGAGCTCAAATGTCCAAAGACAGAGATCTCTGGACTGGGTGCCCCTCAGGTGGTTGATATGTGCCACCACCGTAAAGTTGTTTGAATGAA